GATGGGAGGTTTCCTTGTTAGTGAGGCAAAGTGAAAACAGACCAAATGACTCAACAAAGGCCTCCGCTCATGGAAATTGGATACAGATAACAGACAGGTCAGAAGAGAAGGCAAGAGGAGAGAAATGGATGGCTCTGTTCCTGATTTCAACTAAGCTTCTCCCAGGAATAATCCTGTCACAAGCCACGTACTGTCCCCTGAAGAGCCTTGTTTATTACGTTTGACCATCACTATGAGGAAAGGAAATGTTACTTTAGAAATTCAGGTCATCAAGGTATTTTATTTTTTCACAAAATCACAGGAGCTGGGTTTAATTTGAACACTGTATCAAGTATGCCTGAGTTCTCTTCTTCAACCACAGATAATAGTTGCCTTTATTTTTTTATTAATTTATATGTTGTATCATCACTGTAATACAAAACGATCTGAGGTGTTGGGGTGCAACTGAGAGTTTAAGACATTTAAAAGATTTAAAAACGGAGGGCAGACTATATCATCAGTTTTTATATCAAATCAACAATATTCATGGTGATTAAATGTAATTATGGCTGCTGTTTTCAGGTGGTGGGCTTAGAGAAAGCGTGAAATTGACGAATAAGCATTACTGAATGTAGATGAGTCCTGAGTCAAACGTGTTTGCAAATATTATAGTTTTATACGATTCTTAGGCAGATGCAAATAGACGTTACACATTTCTCCAGATGTACTTTACAATCCCAGATTGTAAAGTTTAAAAACAGTTTAAACAGTTTAGTAAAAGCAGTTTAAAAACACTGCTAAACAACTAGTTGTAGTAGCTTTGTGACACGGGTGTGTGATGGTGCTGCCCTGACAGAAGACTTTATTAGCGGCCAAACATCTGCTGGCAGTTTTTGTCCAGACACTAGGGAACTGTTAAAGTTTTATCATCCAATGACTAGAAATTAAGCCTTTTTAAGGCTATAAATAAGTAATGGAGTTTATAGGTTTACTGTTTAAGAAATAGCAGCCAAATAACTCTAATAACTACAACGAACTTCTGTGCGTGAGGAACAGTTGTCACTTTGCTGTAGTTACTTTTACAGTAGTTATAAAGGTGATGGGACTATGTGAGCTAGCGCTATAATGGTAGTCAAGTGTCTGGTCAGTTCTTTGACTACTGCAATCTGTAGGAGTAGTTCATCTTGATGTGCAATACTGTTAATATAAAAAAGCAGATCCTTTCTATCAAGGGAAATTTGACTTTGTTTTACCTTTGTAAAGTGCAAATATTAGTGCAATTTTCCAACAGTAAATAGTTAAGAGTTTGTTTTTAGTTGAAGACCCATGTTGAGTGACTGTCATTCACCTTTGTTTAGCTCTGCTGTGTTAAAAAAAAAAAAGTTATGCATTTATGTGTAATGGCTGAATATATTTAAATCATTTTTGTACCATCTTGTTAACGCACCGACAGTTCCTCACAGTGACTTTTAATGTACTTGAAGCTGTTTTTCGTTTGTTTTTGTTACAGTGGATCTATGGTTTTCAGCCCTGCACTCACAAATGAGCCTAAGATAAGTCATGTTTACGTCGTTCTGCAACCTTCATCAACACCAACCAAAGAAACCTCTGTTGTCCCATACTTCTGACAGTTTGTGTCAACAGATGGCAAAATAGTCTGCTGTCCTTCTCCGGCCTTATTTCTTGTATTTCACAGGTTAGCCTACAGTGTGTCTTTACAGCCCAGAGCAACAGAATCAATTCAAACTATGAGGTCAGTTTTCACTCTAAAAGTATTTGCCCTTTCAACAAGCCTACAAGTGCTTAGGATGCTGTGTGTATACAAGGAGCAATCAAAAGATTTTGTGGCTCTGCCCATAAAAAAGCAAAAAATCATACCTGGTATTAGCTTGGCTTAGGTCACATGTTGCACACATCTGAACGTCTTTCAGTGCTGTTGACATTTTGAGAATGCTCCCTGGAAGTGGTGTCTGACCACTTGCACTTACCTGTGGGCAATGTCATCATGGACCTCAAACTCACGCAGAGAGCTAAGATGAACTTTCTGTTTTCACCGAACCATCATGTTGACTTTCATCACTGGAGATGAGAATCGCAACTCAAAGACCAAACAGTCAACAGTGTTCAAACCTGCAGGCGTCACAACAGTTCAGGAGCTGACCAGTCTATTTTTCATGAAGTTGCACACTTCCCCCAGGGTCGACACCGGGTTGTCCCTTTATGCCCTGAAGCTTTAAAGGGAGCACATTTGAAGCAAACCACCTCAGCTGTGGCAACAGCCAGAGATCCATGTACGCCTTCCCAATTTTGTCTCCCTGAAAAGTTCCTAGATTCCAAAACTGAAATTCAACTTCAAGGGTTAATACTTTCAGACCCTGCGAAGCGGGTGAGCAACAAGCCATTTTTTTTTTTAGAGTTTTTGCCCCTAATAAAATATCTCTGTGGAGCTGCAAAACATATTCAGACCTTATAATGAACATGACACAGCCTGTTAGCTATGGATTATCAACATTAATAACTGATACAACATGCAGTAGGGATTTATATGAATATAAATATATCAAATAAAATATATGTAACCTTGTATTTTTAACATTAATACCATGTTTTTATTGTATTAAAAACGTTTAGAAATTTGTTAACAAGAAATAAACATTTTTAAAAACTACTTGCATGTAAAAGCCTAGAGTCCAACCTCTGTTTGGGCAAATTATTCAAACTGAAAAAAGTCTATTTTAATTGTTAGTTTGAATTTGAATTATTATTTTGATAATTGGCAATGAAAGAAAACAAACCCTAAAAACATAGCCATTGCTCATTTTCATTTCAAAGTATTTTTTGTCATAACCACACGCAGCTCCGCAGCTGCAAGCTGGAGTCCTGTAGAAGATAAAATGCACAATCACAAATGTGCAATTGATAAATTAATGCTTTAAAGCAGGGATGTCAAATTTATCTTACATTGTGGGTCACATTAAAGCCCATGCTTATTTTAAGCAGACCAGTGAAACTCCCCTTTCTGTCAGTGTAAAGAAGTTTACCTTAACCCTTAATCCCCGAGATATCTCAATATCAGAAGAAAGTGAAATTTCAACAATGTGTTTCAGTTTTTCTGCATGATAAAGAAATGCTGCTGTAAGAAATGAAAGAAATCTGTCAATATGACTCTTTGGACTTAAATTGTGAGAAATAATTGCATGAAATTACATCTCACCGCCCAAAATTAATGTAATTATCAAACAAAGTGACCTAATTTCTATCAGGTATGGTTTATACACTTTTTTTTTTGGCAGAGTTGCAGAATATTTGGATCGCACCTGGTATGGTACAACATGCTGAATAGACATATGTCATACAAAAAAAAAAAAAAGCATGAATTATGTATGCAAAAAAAGAAGGCTAATACAGGCAAGTGACTACTTAGAGGATTTCAGTTTTGCAGGTTTCTGTTGGTGATTTAGAAAGTTGATGTGTTCAAATCTTATTCAAAGTTAACACAAGAATGATTGCTTTGAGAGTTGCTGTAGTGTTCAATGTGGAGCTTTAAATGCTGGTTTTATTTTTGTACCCGGAGCGAAAAAACCAGAAGTATTAGCACCAGTGTTTTCCCCTTTTAGTACAAAGTTCAGAGAACAACATAAGCATCTAATGAAATATTTATATTTTAATTTAAAAAAACAAAAACACAAAAATAGATTTTGGGGTTTTTTTCAGACTTGACTTATTTAACCTCCTAGGACCCAGCGTCCACATATGTGGACATGACATTTTGGGTTGTCTAGACCAAAATACTAAATTTTCCTCTACAAGTGTCTGATATCAACATACGAGGACACGATACTGCCACTGTTCTAGCGAAATTTAAAGTGAATGTCCTAATATGTGGACCTCATTTTTCTCATAAACAAAAATGAGGTAAAAAAAAAAAACAAAACACATAATTCTTTGTTTTTACATTCATCGGGTCCCAATCAGCCCAAATAGCATGCGAAAATGCAAAAGATGAAAGAGTTCGGGTCTTAGGAGGTTAATTTAAATGGTGTTCTGTGGTTTTTGACGGCTAGTAAAGGAGAACATTTAGCTTTTTACTCACCTTTATGTCGAAAAATCTACAACTAAAGCAATCTGAGCAATAAATATGTCAGATGTAATAACCGTAAACTACAAAATGTTTGTCTCAGTCACACAAACTGTTTTAAATCCCCTCAAAAGGTGAAACAGTCTGTAGATGTATGCGTGTACCAGCAGTGGTAGAGACCGCTCTCTGCGATACGGAAACTTCTCCAAAATATTCAAAAAATCTCTTCATGTAAATCGTGTTTGGTTGTCTAATCTTAGACTAATTTTTGACTGAGTTTATAAATGTATCACATACAGGTTTACTTGGCAGAAACAACTTAACACCTGGCAGCACGGTCAAGATTTCCGATGGAAGAAAACAGGTATATTTTTAAATAATTTAAACAGCATTAGTAGCATTTTTAACTGCCTGAACCTTTCCTTGTGCAATGTAGTTCACTGGCGCGGTGACCAAGGGGTAACAGTTTCACTAATAAGCAACTCTTGTTTTCAGTTTAATGAATGATGTAAACAAGGCCTCAGACATGGCCTTACTGTAAGCTTCCTTCCTGTACCATGGCCCTGCACATGGAAATGTCTCTGTAAGCATGTGTCCTGCATTTATTACCTCCAAACAAGACTGCTTATTTCCAATCACTGAAGGAGGACTCGTGTAATCTATTTATGAATAAATATCATCTATTCTTGACAACTGGCAGCTAGTCTGGCTACAAGTTCAATTCTGAAGTCACAGAAGCAGTAAATAAAAGCATTTAAGGTGAAATTCAGTGAACAGTGCAACCCAGATCAGCACCATGTGGAGTTTTTCATTGCATCCCTGCTTGAAAACAGTAAAGTGTGGTCAATCTGCTCTCACTCACTCACACACTTTATTTTACCAGCTTCAGGTGATAATGATGCTGTCACTACTGGTGAGATTCGCAGCATTCACGCGTACAATATTTTGTAATAAAATGTCTATTTATTCTGTTTACTTTACAAATGGGAAAACAAATTAAATTAACACATAACAGGCATTTCCAAAAGCACTTTCACTGACAGACAGAGACCCAGTGCAGAAATGACATTTACATCACATAAACCTTACATAAAATAATAAACCATGAATTTTTCAAATTGGACTCTTATTTATGTTAAAGAAAATCCAAATAAACTCCAAATATCAAAATGAACCAGTCTACACACTGACCTACTGTAACTTGTGGCAATATATGACATTAAGTTTCTCTGTCACTAGTTGTGTCAAAACTGGCTGTGATCATGGAAATGTACCTGTCAACAACAATAGATGAACAGTTGGTTAGTCGTTACCCTGCCAAATAAACATGACAAACATGATGAATCTGTCAGAGTAAAAGGTTTCAGAGGAGAAAATGGATATTTGAAGACACTAAAAACAGTCAGGAGGCACTAATAGAACACAGGTCTACATGTGCCAGAGAGCAGCCACACAAGCTTTAAACTGAGCTTGTATGACTACTCTCTGAATACTGCCCATGGAAAAGAAAAACAATCAAGGTCTTGCAGCGGCAGCACCATGCTGTGTGCATGCTTCTTTCCAAGTCTGACAGTTTTAAAAAAACACTGGGTAGAATAAGTGAAAGAAGAAAAAAAGGCAGCCATATGAGGAAAATGTCTGACATCCAACAAGGACACAATTGCAAACACAGGAGTGGTTTCAAAACAGGCTTATCCTGGAGTTAAGGCTTCATGTCATTTGAGAGGTTGAGCTCATTCAGTCTTCATGAAACTGAAGCATCGACTTACAGTAGGTTTGAGAAAAGAATACATTTGTTTCCTGCACTTTACTGAATAAGATTAATGCAAAGATTTAGTGAGACAATCATGTGGCAGACATTCAGTGTGCAGTATAATGTCTGGATGGGGGAAAAAAATAACAGTAAAACTGAGAAGAGCCAAGCTGCTTTAAACTGACAACAGCACCTTAAAACAACACATTAAACAGCAACACAGCATGTTGAGTCAAAGTGGATACAACAGTAGAAGACCACATCCAGTTCCATTCCAAATTTCTGTTTGGCATGAAAGTTTCAACTGGAACAAATCTAAATATTATATAGTGTAAAATGAGAGGAAGCACAAGATAATCCCTTTTTTAAATCTAATGTAGCTATAAATGTGTATTTTGTGAGCAGTGAGGAAGAAAATTCTGCTACTTGGCTAATGATCCTGCATTGCCTCACTGCAATGTTTATACTGCAACAAGTCTAAGAATATGACTCACAATTTGATATGATTCATTTCACTGCTGCAGGTGTGTTACTTTGCTTTAGTATAAGAATAGTAATGTATTTAAAGCTCTAGTGAGATACAGAATGAAGATGCTATATTGGAAGACTTGTCTAGTTAGAAGTTCATAGGCTGAAAATCCAGATTGTTACCAAACTGTGTTCCTGCTACCTTGCTGAACCCAACCAGGACCGGCTGATCAGACATTTTTTTGGTCTTCAATTTAGTCAGAAAAGACGTGAAGGCGTCCCGATGCATTTCCACCCAGCAAGGCATTCCTTGTAGGATGGAAAGCAGTGACAGAGAGGACTGTGCTGAGATTCTCGCTGTCCATGAAGGAATGTTGGAGTTGACCGCTTTCATGGAACACCTGCACCCTCCTAGGCTTCATCATGCTCCCCACCACGAAGCAGTCTTCCTGTTTGGGGTCCCACACAGCTGATAGTTTGGTCAGCCAGCGACCTGTGTGCATGTCATGTCTGCCAATTTAGATTGAGAAGGCATGTTGAAAGTACTCAGTTATTAACACAGAGATGACTTAAAAGAACAGGAAAAGTTTAAAGTTCAATTTAGTGGATGTACCTGATGGTTGTCAGCAAGGGAGATTTAGTAGTCAGTGTAGATGTGTCATATATCCTGTTAAAATAAAGAAAGAAGAAAGGACATTGTGTTGGAACTGAAAAAATTAAGTATATACAGCATGTCAGTGATCCATCAGCTTCACCTTATATTGTTATCCATACAGGAAGTAAGAACCCTGTTTCCAGTACAAGGGGAGAAATAAGCACTGGATATGCTTAAAGAGTGGCCATGCAGCTGGGACACTGCCTGGCTTTTGGTCTTCTTCAGGTTTCGACTGTCATAAATACTAACTACCCTGCCAAAAAAAACCAAACAAAAATAAATAAACACACACAAAAAAAAACAAAGCATACACTTAAAATTTAAAGACAGATTCACATAAAATAGTGACGCGTAAACATTACAAAAATATAAAAATTAAAAAAGCCCATACTTGCTTTCAGCCACCACAAAGTACTGCTTCTGTAAAGGGTGGACGTTAACACAACGCAATGTCTTGGGGTCCAGTGTGTGGAGGGATTCATGGGAGTTTCTGCAGATGAAATAACATACTTATGAAAGTGTTTGAGTGCAACATTAAAGTTGTTTAAAAGAAAAGAAAATGTACTACTTTCATTACTTTAAGACAATGTCATTATCTCACCCTGGGGTGCGCCTGTCAACAATGGCAACCTCTCCATACCAGTTCCCGACCACTAGTGTCGAACAGTCATGTGACATGAAGTCAAACGTTTTCAGGCCATCTTCAATATCATACACCTAGAAAATGGACAACCTTTTTTATTCGCGGATCACAACGTAACCAGATTGAACTAAACTAATGACGGTATCTTACATCATCAAAAACAGCCTTCTCTACGTCCATGCAGCGAAGGGATCCATCGTAGCTGAGGCTCAGCAGTTGTGTGGGATGAGACTTGGAGAATGCCATGCAGCCCACTGGACGGGTGTGGGGCTCAAAGAGCAGGACACCATCATCACCCCAGTCACCACCCTAGAAGAGCATACACATGCAGTAAATCAGTGGTTGGAATTCATTTAAATTAAATAAAGATTTTCAGAGTGAAAAAAAAACAACAAGCAAAAAATAAACCTGAATTCAAACATGAAGCAGGCCAATTAGCCTGAGGAGAACACTTGCGAATTTTTGCAGCCTGACATGAAGCTTTACTTTTGAGACACTTGCTGCCATCTAGTGGTCAAGAACTAATGCATAGTTAAGGCAAAGAAAACTCACCAACTTCCAGAGTCCCACTTTCCCCCACTTGTCGCCCGCAGCCAGCAACAGGCTGCTGGTGCAGGGGTGGAAGGCTGCAGAGAAGATGCGATCCTTCACCACTTTGGCCACTTTGTCCTCATTTACCTTCATATTCTTCAGAGACGAATGGTACCTGTGTTCAGACATCAGTGCACTTGTTTGTTCATCTGTTTCTCAGGTTCTTCCGAAACATCTGACCCTCGGTACATCAAAAGAGTCACTTTTTGTAAACTGTGCAGTAATCTCACATCCAAATAAAAGTATTAAATCTTACCCTTTTACGTCAAGCTGTATCTTTTTATCTTCTTTTACATCCTGTGAAAAGAAAAGCAATTTCATAACTTCCTAATTGAAAAAGAACCGTTGCTACACATAAGAAATTTGTTAGGAATTTTGTTCTTATGCTTGTGGCTAATATGGGCAGTATAAAGTATTCACATTTAAGTAGGAAAGAAGGAGGGCAACATGTTAAACTGAGTGAGCATTGTAAATAAATATTGTATAGAAAAAAAGTGAAAATATCATAGAAAGCTGACTCTTACCTCAGAGCAGAGCTCAAGAAGTTGTGGAGGCAGCTTGCTTCCTTCTTCCACATTCACTGGATCCATGGGCAAAGGGCCAGAAGGCTTCTTTGCTGGTGAAGACTTGAAAGCAAGTAAACAACTATAATGAGTAACATACCCAGAGAGGAAGAACGAGAAAAATAAAAACGCTAAAGAGACTTGAGATGCAGCAGTGGAGCTGTGTGAACTGACACATTACAGATGCATTATTAGATTACATGTTGGCACCTGTTCATAAATAAGTGTCCCTCTCGGTTCAGGAGGAAGCTCCAGGATCTCGGCTTCTTTTTTTTGGAGTCGCAGTGATTTGCGAGGTGGCACGACTTCTTTTACAGCAGCATGTGTCCTGCAATCAAAGAAATTTAACATTACAGGAGGCCCAAAAAGATATGCTTCCTATTTTAACATGACACAGGGTCAGAATAAATTCAAACTGTTTTTCCAAACATAAAAACCTTCATAAAAGTTACTTTTTTCTTGTACCCAAGGACGTTGAATTGACAAGTCTAGTCTTATTTCCTGAGCTTCACAAAGTTCAGTCTCAAAAACAAATACAAAGTATATTATAGGAGCACTGTGATGTTCCACAGAGAATACATGGGAGGGGAAAAACCATGTTCTCATAATTTCTGCACCACTGTGGTTTTCCAGAGTATCACGATGCCTGATTATTCTGACTGTACCGTGTGAGACCTCTCTGTGATGGCTTTGGTCGAGTCAGCTGCTTGAACTCCTCAGTGGCCTTTAAACAAAAGAAAACAATAACTGATACTCTGATAGTCCAGACAAATGACACAATCACAGATATGGTCCTTTTCATAAGGATTTATTTCTCACTCATAGTCTACCTGGGTTAATTACACCAGTAAATATGGCTTGTAGCTGGTCTAAATGTCAACTGTTGCTGGTCAAATTTAAACTTTATGTTGATGGTGCTGATAGTGATAGGTTTATGTCCATGAAAGATTTGCAATGCAGATGATAAAGGGCAGATTTAGTCAATAATATACCTGGAATAAGTTGATAGAAGACAGAAAAGCTTGGTTCTGTCTGATGTTCTCCAGGCGCTCCAGTTCATAGGCAGAAAGTCTCCCATACCCTTCCTGTTACACAAAGATACAGCACTGACACACTGCAAGAAAATTCCCGATTTCAAGTCATTAGAAGTTCCTTAAACTACCATGAGCTGGATGACTGAGAACCTGCACAGACACCTATAAAAACATGTTTCTGTTAGTCACAAAGTCGAATTCAAACTGTGCAAAGTTTCTGTACTCACAGGTGCATGCTCCACGTCACTGTTTTCAGCATCCTCATCTTTTGGTTGCTTACTCTGACTACCATTTTCAGCGACAGCTTTTGTTTTCTATCAAGAAATTACGACAGAATTAACAAGTCGTCAAGTTTTAAAATGACTGTTCGGCCCCATCGTGGTGAACGAGCTCTCACCCTTCTTTTCTTGGGAGTTTCATGTTCGGGAGAGTACTGGAGGCGCTTAGGTGCAAGACCGTTTCTAGATGATCGTCGCACTGTCACCTCGAGATTCTCAGGGGTCATTTCCTGCAAGGTGTCCCTCGTTAACAATTTAGTCAGAAACATTAAGGCACTCAATTCAACTTCCTCACCGAAGATTTAGCGAACTCACAACACACCTCCACTTAAAACTGTGCTTCTTGATGCTAATGCTATGAGGCCACTGCCTAAAACAGGGAGGATAAGTTTAAAAACAGGAAACCACATTAAAACAAAACTACTGTACCTTCACAAGCACAACAGCTTCGCGCTTTGTTCGGAGAGTCGCCATTTTGGTTCATTTACAACGACAGGTACGAATATTTGTTTGAGAGAAGCGAGACGTGAGCACCTCACAAGTGACAACTATTACGGTCATGATAATTACAAGGGGGGCGCAATTGGCGCCACATGCTGCATATGTTTTGTAACTGGTCCTCCCCTTCTGTTGTGAAACAGAATCCTGGCACCTGATTGGTTTATATTTTTACGTCACGAGAAGAAAGGTTTAGGTCCCTCCCGCCAACAGCCAAGCTGGCCTCAGCTTCTGCTGGGATGATGTCGCCATCTTATGGCAGGATAGGGGAATAGCAGTGAGAGGAAAGTCATGGTTATTTATTCACAAATGCTATTGGTTAACGTTTAACAAACAATCAACGTTTGTCAGTGGATAAAACAGAAAATCTATATATATGAGAGAAACACACATTACATTAACTTTTTTTTATTTGCAAAGTATACAGAAATAGATTAAATAGATAATCAAAAACCTAAAATATGATTAATTGTCCTGATTTTGGGCCTTATAAGATTCTCAACAAATGTTCTATAATCAACAATGGTGCATAAAAATAAATGCTGCTGTAAAATCAACATGTAATCTTTATTTGTTTAGTTTGGCATGTAATTTGCAAAGGCCTGCCTTTGGCCCCAGGGTCTTGAGTCGAAATATGTGGCCTGTATTGTTTCCATGGAGCAAATCTGTTTTTCACTAATGCAGTTATTAAAGTATGATATACCATACTATGATTATTAATCAGTAATTAATCTATGTATGCACCCACTGTAGCCTCTTGACAGACATTAGTGATGAAGTTTTACACACAAGCACTGCTTAGACCATGTTGAAACACACTATTTAAAATGAATTTTGTAAACATTGCAAGATCATTTGGAAAAACATACATAGCCACGCAGTTATGTTTTTTAACATTTTTTTAGGCTTGTGTAAAAACAGAAAAATAGTTCTGTGCTACACTTACCTATGCATTTTATAATACACATGCACATAGCTACACTGAAACGTCTTCATCTATTATTGTGAGAGAGACTGAATGGGGAAAGGGTGTTTTAATGTAATAAACATGATGATACATACTAGTCAAGATGCAGTATAGCTAAGTGCACAAGAATGTAGTTAGAAAGAAGTACTGTATATCTGTATTAACGTAAAGCATATGCTTCCTTACCCAAAAATGTAATTATTAAAATGAGTTTGTTTCTTAAAGTAATGACTGAATGTTTCTTTCCTTGCATTTGACTCAAAATTTTAATGTCTCAGTTTTAATAAAAACATAATAAGGTGTTTAGAAATTAAACTTCCAGAAAACATGTTAGAAACCCTAAGTTGACATCAGGCCTTTAGGCTGAATAAAATACATTTCGATACACACATGCTCAAGAGTTTCCACTTTGTTGCCCTTTTATTCAGATGCTTAGGGTAGAGGGTAAGAAGAGCAGGCAGCCAGTCCACACATGTTTTTTCCACGCTCGATCAAAAAATATCTGATGAAATAAAAAGGAGAGATATCAGCACTTCTTGCAAGCTGTTACAAGTCATAAAGCTACACACAGACTATATTTACCCATCCTTTCCCCAGGCTGTGCCCCAAGAGTTCTTCACAATCCAATACGGCACGTTGTTCTTCTCAGTGCCATACCCCACCGCCAGGACTGCATGATTCACTTTGTCTGTTGTGTTCTTACACTGGGTGCTAAATAGACAAAACTAGATCAATAGAGCACATGTCTTTTGAAGGTTGAGTGGGCAGATTGTCTCTTTCAATATTATATTACATCCTACATTTGCAAAATATGTGGTGTAGCTGACTTATATGCATAAAATATTTTATATTTTATGCATATAAATTTCAAGCTACTACTATAACAGTCATCATAGAGACACTTCTTTATACACAGTCCCCCATTTGTAGTTTTCAGAGGCTTAAAAACAATTGTTTTATACTTCTTTGCAAAGGATTTTATCCAAATAGTAAAAATATGTTGTTTGTCTGTCTAAATTAGTGTATAAGTAACAGAAACAAAGTGGGGCTAGTATATTCTGGTCTGCTCTTAAAATCCCAGACCAGCTCTACTTCTTGAATAGTAGTATATGCATAAGTGCTTGTTGAGTTATCAAGGTCCTGATCTCACCTGGAGTAAACACCTTCTTTGTAGTGCTTAAAATCAGCTGTAACATCAAAGCCAAAGGTGACAGGATTGAGCCGGGCCACTGCATCGACCATGGCCTTTTCATCATACTGTGAATGGGCATACACAAATTATAACATATACCTGAGCAGGTCGATGTATGAGGAGTTCCCTATTTACTATAAAACAGTTGCTTTTTTTAATAGTAAAAACTATTAAACTTCCAGAAAACATGCTTCAGACAAACTGCTTCAGATTATTTAAAACAGTTACTCTATTTCCCCCAATGGGTAACAACAAAGACACATTTTACTGTACTGATCTGTTATTTTGTTAACCAGCATATGCAAAGGCTCATTTATTGTACAATTTCATCCACAGTGCAATTTTATTTGTTCACACACTCACACTTGTTATATTGACAACATCTCGGACAAACGCAGCTGCAAGTGAAGGCTCAAAATGGCATTTTCCCTCCTAAAACAGGAAAGATAAAACTTCTTTTATTGTATATTTTATCATATGTAAAATATAAATAAATAAAGATTTTACTCTCAAAAATAATACAAAGGCTTTGTAGGGATAATCCTCCTCTCTCATGAGACCTTTGCTGTATTTGATGTACTCGAATGCTTGACTGGGGAGCCCACTGAAATAAACCACACAGCCTTTGATTGGTTGAAATTCTATACTTACATTATTATGCTGTTTCTATAACATAAAATGTCTCACATGTTATAGTTACAGGCCAGACAAACATGATTCCTACCCAAAGCATCCGTAGTTGCTAAAATTTCTGGAACAGTCCAGCAGCTGCTGCTCAGACTAAAACAGAGATAAATAAAGAGCATTCATCATATATACTCAGAAACAGTGGATACTTTTCTTCTGCCAGCTATATTTGTGTATAATACTAAACTATTACCAATTGTATTAGTTTCCCAGTAGCAATAGCATTCACTGACTCCAGACAGCCAGTGGTGGAGAAGGTCCAACAGCTGCCACAAAAACCCTAAAGATACAAACACGACACAACTCAAGCAACTGATAATGCAGTTATGTTAAAGAGGCACTTCACAAATATTTAAATGCTTAACATGATAATTTTTGGTGCTGTAAAATGTAAATGAAAACAAAAGGAACCATCTGTAAATCAAACTCTCTATTTGGAATATTTAATAATATCATATATTATAGAATATATTCTCTCAGAGGTTGTGACTGAGGTATGTTGTGTAAATAATTTGCACATGTAGAAAACATATATCTTTATTTGTTTCTCACTTATCACTTTAGTCATGAAATGTGCCCCATCACATGTTTCTCATAGAACATAACTGTAAAAATGAAAGTCAAAAAAGGCTAAATATTATAACTTACACGGAGAAACATAAGAGTGGCCACTTTTATAAGTAAATGCAAAGTTGTTTATGTTGAAGCAAAACGAAATGTCGAAAAAATTTTCCTCTCCTTTCATTACATAAAAAACTCTGACACTGTGTATTTGTTCGGAAAGGTGCTACATGTTTAAGGTTTAGCAAAAATATTTCTGGAGATTAAACACAAGACATATTGTTTTTAGTAAAGCATGGTTTGTGCTTCAATGCAACTCAAAGAAAGCATGATAAAATACAGGCTTTGTACGACTTTGTAAATATTGTACTTTGCACAATATTTCTTTAACAAAAGGAGAATATGGCTATAAAGGCTTTAAGAGCTATAGAACGTATGAGGATACCTGGTTCTTCACAGGAGTCACGAAGTTGCCCTTCATCCTCCAGTCTACAAACTCAGGATAAGGACCTGTCCTTTTGACATGACTGCCTTTAGTGACTGAACAAGTCTAAAAGATGTGAAAAGATTTTAAAGGAAATAAAAGACAAACTCCAACACTCTGTACAAAAGCACCTGTTGCGTGAAGTGTTATAAAATTAGGTAATTTACCGAAGGTTGCGTGAAAAGGTAGAATTTCTTGAATTCCTCAAATGTCATGTCTGAGAATTGGTTCAGGCCCACTAGATTAAAAAATGAAGAGCAGGGTGAGAACTGGATGATAATTTTTATAACATTCTATAGCAGTAAATGTTTTTTATTTTATTTATTTGTTCTTCATTCTTTGAGGAACATTTGCAGCATTTTGTTGAATCTATGGCAACAAGAACTAATGTTGTTCTGAAGGACAAAGGGGATCCAACCTGGTACTAGTAAAGTGTACCCAATAAAATATCCAGTGAGTGTATATTGCATATTTTAAGGCAGAAATTGGAGCAGAACGATACTGTACTTGTGAAGGAGTGATTCCCAGCATTGTGCCGATCAACTGTCCTCTTATTTTGAGTGAACACATGGAGTCTGTGGTGATATTCCTCAGTGCCATAAACTTTGTTGTGCTGCACAAAAACCCCACATAAAAACAGACATAATGAAACAAAGGAAAGAAAATTTTAACTAAGTTTAACTATATACAAAAAACCAAAATCGTCAGAATATAAAGGTCAAAATCTCATTAGTTTAAAAATACACATACCTCTGAAATCCACTGCTTGAAAGCATATTCTTCTAATGGGAAAGAAAATGTTTTAGTGGATTAAGTAACACTTAAAATGGACCTGTTATGCTTTTCTTGATTTCTAGTAACAGACAAAGGCTGTTGGAAATATTAACATCAGAGGTGTATGTACAAGTAACCCTTATGAGCCAAAAGCTTAGGCTTTATCCTCATCTCAACACTCTTCTAATCTTACATGAACATCATTCAAATCATTAGCATCATTGGATCTGTATGATCTCTGTGTTAGCGAGAGCAGAAATCCCTAATATGATCATCACAGGCAAATATCTCTGGCCCCACCCAGCTGCTGTTTAAAAAAAATGTCCCCTGTCTAAAACAGCAGGTTTTAGAGGATCAACTACTTACTGGGCTACACTGAGGACCAGTGGGAAAACTACAATCTGAATCATGCACAACTACCCAAGTAGAATTAAAATCAGGGAAATCTGGTTACCAAGTACTATGCCTAAGTACAAATTTTAAGCACGTTATCCATTCCTCATGAGCACATCAGCAAACTGTCATTTTCATTCGACAGCTGTAATTTCACATAAATTGAGCACAAAACATTTCGAGTGCTCATATGAAATATGCTTTCATAAACCTTTTAGCAAAATGGAAAATAGTATTAGCTTCATCTCTTCAGTGAAAAGAAGCAAAATTAAACTTATCCCACAAAAAATGGAGACGTTGGTTTCTGCATGACTGCTTTTACAGTATGTTACTGAACATTTTGTTAACAGGATCCAAGGACATGAACACTTCTTTCACCCTTTCAATTTCAAGCAACTGAATTTCAATTCTAGCAACTGCTGCTGCTGCTGAAAGAAATGTAAAGTTTTAAAATAAACAACAATAAGCTGCTGAAAACCTGGCAAACACTTACCTTTGACGGAAATTAAAGGTGATAAATGGACGAAGCTAAAAATGGCAGTAATAAACCACACAACAGTCAGAGCCATACTCTCCACAGCAGATTACAGCAAGCTTTAAGGGCATCACATGACTTGACTTCTTTTTATGACTGCTTAAGAGCCCCTACTACTGAAACCCCCCTTTGAATTTCCCCCAGCAAAGCAACAGTCGTAAAGGTTATGGTCCAGTGCACCCAGTTCAGAACATAGTGTTAAAACAAACAGTGCAGCCTGTGAGACACTTCTCCCCCTGAGAAAGAATAGATTTATTAACAAGAGGTAATCAGGAAAGAATACACTTTTATACAAAACTGGAAATACTACTCAAGCTTTTGAAATAGACTGAAAGATAATTCTCATATCACTGGGTATTGCTCACTGCAAACATTTGATGTGCCTGTTAGAGAGTAAAGATTCATGTGCAAGGGTGGGGTTTAAATACAGTACACATACGGTTCTAGGTATAGATTCCATTTGAACACGTCAAAGTGGTACATGCCTGCCACTTAAGCTTTAGATGTTTTTCTATACAAAGCCTGTAAAAAATACATATAAATATTTCAAGAAGAAGCACAATATTACTACTGTATAGTTCCTGCTAACACATTGGAATAGACAGGATACAGAATGTGTTACACTTATAAGTTGTTTTCAACATTTGTTTTAAAGTATCATACACAGAAAAGTTATTACAGAGTTGAACGATCATAAGGATAACACATTTCGAGGGATATGTTTTTTTTTTTAACACATTGCACGTTAGGAAATGCATCAGACTGCCTGTACACAGTACTGTACACAGTAAATATTTCTGCTTTATCGGCAAATCGTAGAACAAAATAGTTTACATACTTTTGTGGAATATAATCCATTTCATGATTAAGGCAAAACCATAATGCACTGGCCAAAGAGGATTAACCATAACAACTATGCTATCACTGTCTGAGTGTAAAAGCTGGGAATTTAACTTCCTGAAGTGGCTCAATCTTGGTTACATCTGCTACATACATTGCCCGGTGCTTATACTGTATATACATCATGTTGCCCACCAGGGGAATTATGTGATAGTAAGCAAAGCATAAAAACCCATCTCTCCAAACAAAGAAACAAACAAGCTTATCAGCGACTCGGCAGGTGTCAGGTTGACTCCAGCACTTTCAAATCTCTTGTTACTCTGCGGCTACATAAAAACATCAGAGCACATGATTCAGCTTCAGCCGCTGCAGCGGTCTCACTTTTCCTCCCTCTCTAAGGTGGGACAAGATGGACTGAAAGAGGACAAATGTTATCCAGATTTGACAGTCTGATGGTTTTAATCATTAAGATTTTCATAAAATCAAATCCTATTTTTGATATTATTACTTGCCTGAATTTTGTTGCAGTAGCATTTTAATATATTTACATTCAGCAAGTCCCTCGCGATCATTGCAAATATTGTAATCAGCCTTGTTCAGTTCAAATCAAACAATAAAATCCTCAAGAATCACACAGATTTATATGGAAACTTGTTTAAAAATAACTCCAGTTGTGTTCGGTTCTCTCTTGATTTGGGGGAGTTAACCTTTATGTGGTAAATGTGAACGTTTCTTGCGAATGAGAACCATTTGGTGCTGCACGTTCCCTTTAGGATATGGCTAAACGAATTTAAAAAATAACTTAATGTTAACATGATATTTAAGACAATAAATAACATATAAATACTCTGTAACTATAGAAATAAACCTCTCTGGACTTACACTCAGTCTCTAATAACGAATATACACGAGTCCGTGGGGAGCATATACTAAAAGGGCACTGCCTACTCTGTCTAATACAAATAATAGTAAATATACATTTTGATATATTGTTTATGTACACTCAATATGAAAGCAGAGTGAGAGAGATCATCTTCATGATGAAGTTTTGGGCTCGATTCTCAGGGATGCTTCATACAGACTCTCCTCATCCAGCACATTACTGCGGTCGAGCAAGTACTTTGTCACCTAAGAAAAAAAACATAATAAGGAAGACACAGAGAGAGAGCGGGTTATTCACAGTTTATTCAAGGTTTCCTTTTCTTAGGCTACACATTTAAAGCAGGAAATGTTGTGTGAGAGCGAGTTCTTTTAAAAAAATAGCTGCACTGGTCAGAAAGTACGCTGGTTACTGTGCTCAGAAAGAGATCGGACTCATCATGATAGTAGATGGTACGCACAGTTGCCCACAGAGCAAGAAGATGACTGCTGATTGAACAGTTTGGAAAAACATGCAGTCATGAGGCTTGTCTGAATGGGTGTAGTAATGATTACACAGAACATTGGCTGGAACATCAGCTCGTTGAAAGGAAGAAAGTTTCTAGTTTTGATAAGTTTTTTTCAACTTGACGCATTAATTAAAAGGCAAAAAAATTAAATAAGGCCAAAGGAAAGCTTTCTGACTATTAATAAACTTCGGCTAATCCGAAAGTTGCAGAATTTCAGTGAAGCTGCTCATAGATCATTGCCTGAAAGTCCAGTTTGTCTTTCTTGCGGTTGTGTTTCTCTAAAACTAGCTGGATCTTGAGAAAATAGTGATCCTTCAACTTGATTTCCATATCAGTCAAGAAGTAATAAAAAACTTGTTGCACAGCTTGTTTCCACTCAGCGTTCTCCCTCAGACTCCTCCTGAAGTTGCAGCAATACTCTCAGTTGACAGTCTCACCTTAGGGCATGACTTCACACTGCACAACCATGTGAATAAAAAAAAAAAAGGTCTCATCACCAGTGATGGTTCTCCACACAAAATTTGGGTTAGACTGAAACAGGACTTCCAGGAAACGATCTAAAAACAGCAGCAGAGCTAAAGGCACAGAAGCGTTGTACGAAGAAAATGGTCTGGCAACAGCCAGTTCCTAGAACTTTTTGAGCACGCCTCATAGAGCAATACTTGACAAATCCAGACAAGAAATAGAAAGCTGGAAAACAATGAAAATGAACAGTAACTTCACCTTTGGTTGATAATCAATCTTGTAAGCTGTTTGCTGAAATTGTCGTATCTCTCTGATAATGTGAGATATCTGCAGAAAATGACAGAAAATCACATAAAAGTCAAACGTGTCCACCCATGAAGAATAAATAGATGAATCACACGCATGTGAAAAACACCTTACACAACAGCACAAGGTTAAAGTTAGATGTTCTGTACCATTCTCATCTTGGAGAAGTTGACAAGGTTGTCTTCAGTGTAGTTGGGTGTTCCCTCCTCAATGAAGGCCAAGTCAGTCAGGTACATTCCCAGGTAGGGGACACATGGGGGGTCACAGCTGAAGACACCAGGCAGGTCAGGAGCCAGTTAACACAAAAAGTTTTTAAAAAAAGTAAAAAGTTGGTTTACTTACTTCTTCAGAGCTTCTCTCAGGTTTTTGAATCTGCCTTCTGATGACACCAGCTTCTGTAACTTGTCAATCACAGTCTTTGTCTAGAACATAGATCAGGGGGAAAATGTTACTGTCACGACCTCGAAATTTAATCGGAATCTTTATTAACTGAAGAAGACAATGACAGGATTGTTTGAAATTACCATTAGTAGACTCTCTTAGAGCATCCTGACTTTCATTCATTTTGTTCAACTTAAAAAAAAGTCCTTGTTCCATCAAGGCAACATACTGAAGCTGCTAGAAATGCTGATTGCATTCATGAACTGTGTACAAGTATCTCTCTATCTATCTCTGACTAATTAGGACGTTTTATTTTATTTATGGTAAATGGCCTGTGTCAGCTTGGTCGAGCAACCATGGAGGAAGACATCCAAAGTAAGAACCAAAGAGTCAAGATGACCTTTCAGGAGTATATTTATGCAAACTGTCATTCAACACACCTTCCACATCACCGTCATGCAGCCTTTTTGACCGAATGGAACAGACAGATTTAAATAACCTCGCAGAATATTCCACTAATTGGACTGAACCATTCTGCTTTTACACTCAGGACTCTAGAAGATACCACTATTTTAAAACATTTACAACTCGCCCCACATAAAAAAAAAACCCCACCAATAATCAAATTATGATAAATAAATGAATAAATAAATTCCCATGCCCTTTACGCATGCCTTACTCTCCTTCTCCAACCAATAATTGTTATTCCCAGGGCACAATTTTCCCCCCTCACAACACCGGAACCAGGAAGCAGCAGACTTGTGACGTTCTAGCTGACGACTATCATTTATACTCGCTAACATGCATATTATTTAACCAACAGAGTTTGTGTGCCTGTTTACTTCAATGTACTATAAGCATGACAATTGGAAATATAACAAGAGAAAATGTCAGTTAAAATATTTATTCTATGGAGGTAATCACAGCTTTTTTCTTACCTTTTTCTGTGTAAGTACTTTTTATCTAACAGTCATACACATTCATACTCTGATGGAGCAACTTGGGGTTAATATCTTGCCCAAGGATATTTGGTACGCCAACAAATAATCAAATTATGAATAAATAAATGAATAAATAAGCAGCCAGGGATCGTACCACGACCTTCCAATTAATAGATGACCTGCTCACCCTCCAGAGGCACCCCAATTATGAAAGATCATATGAAATATTTCTAATACCTGCTTGGAAACTTTGAGCCAGGTCTTCTTGAGGCGAAAGATGGAGCTGCGATTGAGAGACGACGTGATCTCCAGCACAGCATTGTAGTTGTGGAGGCAGCGGCAGATGTCGGCCACTGCCACCCATTTCTCAATCACGGCCACCCGCATGTTGACATCATCCCATTGCAGGATCTCTGTGGCAATCTTGTTACTGATCTAGCAAGAAAAGAAACAAATACACATTGATAATATCTACAAATGTTCCGTATCTTGCCCTAAGATATCTATCTAAATATCTTTAGATTAATACTTACATCATTAAAATGCTTGGTAGTTGTCATTATGTATGGAGTTCTCTCATTCTTGTCGTTCTTCATCCAGCCCTGACCGAAGAACTCCCTGTACAAAACAAAATGTTTACACAGAATGAACAAACACATCACGGGAAAAATATTTCAACATTTCACGTGTGTCCTTCTCTCTATCCTCCCCCTCTAACCTCTACAATTTTTATCTGTTTACCTTTGTTTGTGTTCTTGTATACACACCTGAGTGTGTGACTGTATGTGTGTGCACTGTATGTCTGTGTACTTACTCATATGGGATGGCCTTGAAGACCAGGTGGTCCAGTAGTGTGAGTTGTTCAGCTATCTCCAAGGCTGAATGGCTCTCAAATGGTTCAGTCTTAGAGTCCTCCATGGCCTGACCACAACAACAAGCAGAAAAAAGTATTACCACAACTAAAGCAAAGAAAAAGAAGGGTTTTATTCTGAAAAGGCTTTTTTGTGGTCTTTTCTCACCATTTGTGTGATCTCTTCGAGGGTGACCTGGTTGTCTCCAGGATCCTCCTGGGTTAGAGTTCTACACCAAAGAAGACATAACTGTTATATGATCTTTGATACATGTTTTTTTTCCAAACAATTCTATAACATTGATATAAAAACCGCACTTAAGGAGCTATTCATTTCTCGTTTTTATTCCTTTTTAGTTTGGCTTCATAATATTTTGCAAAAATACTTTATAGGGACAGGTGTTTTAGATAGCTCCTGTTTTGTGATGTTGCACCCATTTAAAAGTCTAGTCTGTGTTTCACAGAGGAACAGATAATACTTCTGGGGCTGACGCTCAGTAAAAAAAAGTTGAAAATTTAGGCCGAGTTCTGGGCTGATGGATTGTATCTCCAGTTCCTGTTGTTACTACATAAAGCAAGTTTTTGTCTTGACAAATTCACTTGCAGAAAGCTTGTTTTTTTCCACTGGGTGCTCACAAACAGTTGTGTCATACATGACTGTAAGAGCAATCAAGCAATGATAACGGAAAACCAACCTGATAATGTTGGCAGCTGCCTTTCTTTCCTGTGTAAGCAGCTCTGGGTCATGCATCACCTCCTCCAGGAAGCCAATTACTCGCATCTTCAACTCTGTGTTCAGCTCAAAGTCCTGAGGATCCACAAATGAACAACGACAGTGTCATTACTGAAGTGTTATGAGCTTTTTTGTTGTTTTTTTTTATCCTGTGAGGGCACAGAAAGACCGAACCAAACAAGAAAAAGAAAAAAGAAAGAAAAGGAGACTGCACCTGCGAATGTTTGGAGACCCAGTGACGCAGCACATTCAGGACTCGGTTTGTGGCAGCTCTTCTGATAACAAACTCTTTGTCCCCATTTCTCTGGTCTGTAGGGAAACCTGGAACCAGGTTTAACAAAGTAACATACAAAGTGAACTCCTAAAGCACAAACTTGTGTTATATACCATCAATATTTTATGATCTTTCTTTTTAAAATCACCAGGGGGCTCCTATTATTGTCTGACTTGTCTGGGTGCACCCTAGTGAGGAAGACACTACCTTGATTATACTGATTAACTGATCTCCGTTAAATCTAAACAACATCTAAACACAAGCATGGATTCATAATCCAGTATGGCTAGATTACTAGATTAGAGACTGTTTCAATGAGTAGGCTCCAGCAGATCATCAGCAGAGAACAAAGGAAGCTTCCAGGTAGCCAACAGGCGTCTCTAAGAGTAAACAGAGGTAGTAGCTCTGTAACTGACCTGTGCTGGCAAGGGACATACGACGATACTTCTCCTTGGTTGGTGTGCCTTCATTGGCACCAGCGGTAGCAATGGCAAAGGCTGAGGCAGCAGAAAGAGCACTCCTGTTGTTGTCCAGCTCCCGGCAAGATGACACCACCATGCCATTGTTGAAGGAAAACAGAGAAAACTCTGCAGACAAGAACGCAAATGAATTTAATTTGAAATCATACTTAGATCAATATTGACATAAAAGAGTTGAAGGGCACCTCCTCTGGAAGACAACCATTACAAAAACACTTTCAGTTTACCTTTCTGAGCTTCTTAAAGATTAGGCTGAAAGGTAATTTGTTTATGCTGTACACACAGTACCGCATGTGCATAATCAAGCTAAGTTGTTGACCATCGGAGGGCAACAGAGAGCTAAAACAGACGCAGCACAATGCATCATGCAGCTTGTTGCAGTTACATTGTACACTCCACTGTGTCTGCCTCTCTGCCTCCTTCCTTCACTCCCTCCCTTCCTCCCTGCCCTCCCCCATTCAGCCGGGGGCGGTATAGAAGAACACGCACATCGTTGCCAAGGTACAAGGTTTCCTTCCACCTACTCACACGAGGCACTGGCTTCCCTTGTATCCAGCACCGTGGGAAGAGAACACACTGGGAATGAATTGCGCCTGACTACCTATGGGGTGGATGCTCCTTCTCTGTGTTCTACGGGGAGGGCCACGAGGCTGTGGGTGGTTTTTACCAAGACCTTATTTGGCAATTGCTACGCTTATCATTTTCCAGAAAAAAAAAGTTTGATATAAATCCGCTGTGGCTATATTTATTTACCTGCTCGTCTCATCTCCGCCTTTAAACACGTCTCACACAACTTGACTGTGCTGGGTGGTAAAAATATTTCATGCTGACTTTGATTCTGACTTCACATTTTTAAACATTGACAAACCCAAACTATGAAATGGGAAGCAATAATGAAAGCTATTTTAACATTTTGTAACATTTCAACAGTTTCGGTGACACAAGCCAAGAAGAAGCAAAGTTAAGCATTTCATAAGCATTAAAGAAATAATTTTACACACATTTTTTACTGACAGATGAGGAGATTAATTCCACTCTCGTATTCTCTCTACAAAAGTTTTTGACGCTACAGCCAGTGACTTTTAGTTCATCGCAGAATGAGTACAGGCATAGAAACAACAAAAACCTGCCTAATTTTTGTTTTAAAAATTCATGAATTGATAACATCTTCTCATGTTGTTGTGTTTGGCTATTTCTTGGCAGGCATGTAACTCTTTTTTGCAAAGATTACAAAAAGAAGATTAATGTTAAATTTACGCACTGTCTCAGCTAAGCCAACCAGCTTCTGGCTATAGCTTTGTTTTTCTTCTGATGAAAATACAAGAGTCATAACTTTTACATGTTAGAAATGAAGTGCATTTCCATTTTTAGCCCTCGCGACTCTTAAAAAGTCAGAAAATATAACATCTAATCTGAAACCTGGCCTGTATTACTTCTATTATGTCTCTAGTGCAATTACACTAGGCAAATCCTCCTTTGATTCCATTTTTGTACATTTTATGGAGGATGAAGCATATGAACAGTAGGCCTGTGGATTTTTTTTCTACTGACATTATGCATTATTATTGATTTTTATTTTATCCCTTTTTTTGCCAAGACACTCCACTGTCAGTAACACTATCCAGTAAACTGCTCAAATTTGCCAGCTCGTACAATCTTGCCAGCTCATTTGTCTTTTTAACTGGTGGGTGTGAATATAAAAGTAGATCACCAGACACTCTTCAACAAGCCTCGGACATGCAGGCTTAAACAGCTTCAGCAAGATTTGCAACACAATTAAATTACTCTACCAGAGTTTTTTGCCTTGACGTTCTTGGGCGTTGATGGTGACTTAGGAGGAGACATTTCTGCTTCTGCGTCGTCACTCTGACTTGGGTCTTCATCGCACTCCTCTCTTACAGACAGATCTGAACAGACAGAGTAACTCACCATTGAGAAAAAAAAAGCAACATAGAAGAAGACTGCTAGAAATTTACAGTCATAGGAAGCAGTTCACCCCAAAATAGACTTTGTTTAGGCTGGAGTTTATTAGGAGATACTGCTCATACAGATGTTTGCACTCTCTTAAATATAATGGGACCAGTTGCATCTTTTTTTGTGGTGCCCTAAGTGCCAAAAGAACATCAACAATTGACAAAAAATAAATACAAAAATGAATCACAGGTGATATGGGGTAAACTGTCCCTTTAAGTTTTACAAAACTTGGCTGATCTTTTGCTGTTATGTCACAAAGGATAAGGGTTTAAATAGGCTTTTATTATTATTATTATTATTTCTACAATACTCCCTCGGACAGAGGCTCTGACCTTGCTTGTTGGCGACAGACTCTTCAGCTTTGCCTTCGGCTTTGGATTCTCCCTCATCAGGGATTTTGCTGGCCATGGTGCTAGAGATGTAGAGCTTGTTGATGTCGAGGGTGGTCTTACTGAAGGGTGACATGGTGGAGTGCATGCTTGCATAGCCATTGGGAGAACAGCTGAGTGCAGCCAAGTCCAGGGCTTTGCCACCCGTGATGATGGGGATGTTGAGTGAAAGTTTGCGGCGGCGGTTGGGAGAGGATGACTTGGTGATGGAGAGTGGAGGAGGAGAGGAGAACTTGCGGCTGGCACGTGGCGATGTGGGTGGCTCGCCGTAGAGGAGTTTACTGTTCTGACTGCTGGCAAAGAAAAGCTCCAAAGAGCTACAGGAGAGGAAAGGGTGAAAGGGAAGAGAAAAAGGTACGTGTGAAAAATGAGGGGTAAAAAGAACATTTTTCACTGCTAAAGAGTAACTTTTTTGAATTTGTGGAGGAGAAAATTCCCACAATGTGACTAGGAACTATAGGAAAGAGGAGAAATGTTAATAAGGGGGGAATGCGTGGTGCACTCCGTGTCTGTACACAGAAGCAGTAAGGGAACGCGTTAACCAGAAGGCTCTTTGGGAGCTCCTGACTCTTTTATTTAAGCTACATTGTTTAAGACAGCATCCTCCTTGCACTGAGAGCCACCCCCTCTGAAGGCCTATAAATAGCATGTCAAGTGACAGTGTGGGAGGCACGGGTGCTGCCAACAGCAACCAGCCCAGGGGAGGCCCACAGAGGCATGGAGAGAGAGAGAAACGAGGAGCCAGATAGTGGGGAAAGTTGGAGAAAGAGATAGAGGTACACCGCAAAAAAAAAAAAAAAATAGCAGTGGCAAAAACAGAGATACAGAGAGGGAGGGGGCGAGTCGAGCAACATAGTGGATATGGATTCCACCACAGCAAAGGCTGGTGGCTGAGAGTGGGCGAGTGGGAAGCCTCCAGCCCTGTATGGTGTTAGCTGCAGCCATGTTGTGTCTCCTTGCCTAAAATTACAAGAAAAATAAAAACAGTAATTTAAAGAGATGAGCAAGGAGCATAGATTGGAATGATGAAGGCTGGGAGCACTAAGACAGGAGAGGAGAGAAGAAGTACAGAAACAGGAGGCAGGAAGAAAATAAAGGCAAAAGGCAAAGTGGAGATTCAAGAGAGAAAAGCGAGTAAAGCAGGATAGAAGAAAAACAAGAGGAGATGTTTAAGTAAGAGATTAGAGAGGAGTGTGACAAAAAGGAAGAAGGACGAGGAGAGTAGGGTCTGGGTGCAAAACACCACCATCAATATTTAATACCGTAGAGCCGCTGCAGATGATGGGAGAAAGGGAGAGAGGGAGGGAGAAGACGAGGAGAGAACGAGAGGGTGGGGTCCTGCAGCAGAGTAAAGGGTTGCTATGGTGACAGCGCAGCGAAGAGAGGGATGGTCAGACTTCTGGAAAGAAAGATAAAAGTGAGAGAATGTGAAAAAAAGGGCAGGAGAACGAAGAGGAGGAGTCAGGAGGAGGTGGGTGGACGCAGGACTCAATTAACTGTGATGGCGGTCAAAAGAAGTCTTGGTGTGACCTCTTGCTTGCCTCCTCCCCAGTCCCTTCTCACCTGGGCAGGATATGATGGGCGACTTAAAGGCACTCCACGTGAGAGACTAATTCTGACACTGGGGAAGTCCCGTCTCTTCACTGCGCCATTACTGCACTGTTGCTGCATTCTCGCGATAAAAAAAATGTCTGGAAATGTCAATCTTTGTTCATTTTTTGCATTTGTGACAGGGATCGCCCGTGCAGTGAGGTTCTCCAAAGGGTTTGATGTAAAAGGCCCTTTTACCCTGCTAAGTAAGCTGCCCACTTAAATGCTAACAGTGAATGTGGAGAAACAAGAACATAGACACAACTCATGTGAATGTCTTACTTAGAAACAACCTAATCACAGTTTCTGCTACACAAAAGTCGAATTAATCAAACCATTTAAATAAAGTAAAGTATTTATCCAGCTAGAGTGTTTTGGTGTGAGTTACCCAGTTCGTTATCTGTAGAGATGTTTTCCTTCTCTTGAATATAATGGAAGAAAATGGAGCTCGCTTTGTGTTGCTCTAAGCACCAAAAACAACATCTTAAAATTTCAGTAGAAATTTCTCGTTCCAAGGAAATGAGAACAAAAGACTGTTAATGAGACTGATCTGTGTCATGTACTGATGATGAAGGAAGTATGCATTTACCAATGCTGAGAGGCTCATGCTTGTAACAGTAAACATGTAAACATGTAATAGCATCTCGCTGGGCTGAGCTGTAACGTTTGCTAGCTGCATTTATACTTTTCAGCACTGATGGTGACTTTACAGATGTATGCTGCCAATGATGCATGCTACCAATACCACTAGGCAAATTGTGATTTTACTGAGCACAGAACACTTTTCAAGGTCACTCTTTTGAGGATGCCAATGTTCACATTTTGGACAGAGAGGACAGATGGTTTTAAAGAGGAGTGAAAGAAGCCATTTATGTCCACTGTGAGCGACCATCTTTGAACAGAGGTGGTGGCTTACGACACCAACTGTCCGCCATCTATAATCCAGTTTTGAGATCCCTACCCAGACACCTTAACGCCCACTCACACCCTGGGCCATCTGACCTCAGGAAATCACATGATAGGGTGGGGCCAGGTTTCACAATGAGCTCACCCGAAACCCTGGCTGATTGTGACCCACACCCGTTTTCACACCTTGGCTCATGTGATTAGGTAGAGGATCATCAGGGTGTCCTTTGTCCATCTTAGGGGGGATACTCCCACAGGGTTTAAATCTGGGACTCTCCACCATTTGACCTTAGAACTGAAGAAGCTTCTCGGATGAGAGGAAGCAACTTAAAGAAGTTCAGACGCTTTTCTTTCCAAGCTCCGTAGATTACAATGACCTGGATGACTGAGAACCTTCACAAACAACACTTTTCAACTTTGTTTCAGTCTATTTTAAATGTGCTTTGGCTCTGAGAAGACGACAGAATTTATGGATCATGTTCACATATCGCTTATTTTTTGCCTAACAGAGCTTTAACCTGCATTTATGGCTGGCATGGTGAATTGTGTTCACTGAAACTTCTTGAGCATGGCACAATTACACCTGTTTTCAGTGTAGTGTCTCCTGAGATCATAGGCATCCAATATGGATTTCCAGCCTCATCCCTTTCACACAGCAATTTCTGCAGATTCTCTGAATCTTTTGATGATAGTATCTACTGCAGATCATGAGATATGCAGAGTCAAGATGCCTTAAAGAGGCAAAATGTTCATCCAGCTGTTGTTAAAAGGAGAGGGGATGCTACACAGTGATAAAGATGGCCAGTAACCCCGTTTTTTGAGAGGTATTACTCCTATCAAATTCAAAATGAACCATTGTTTATCATGAAATAGTTAAATATCTCAGTTTAAACATCTGATATGTTTTCTATGTTCTACTCTGACTAAAATATGTTTGGAATTGGGGTTGTACTTCAGTGCAAATTAAGAAATATCTGAAATGCAACTTGGTATAAAAAGGTTGGCTTTAAAAGCTCAAAACTGATGAAATAAGGCTTTGGCCAGCAACTAAAATGCAGTTAGTGTGAAAATGTTTATACCAGGGAGCTCATAAAATCCCTCATTAAACCTCCTGGAATCATTTCACTTACCGTGCAGGGATGGCACTGATGGGCTTCTTGTAGATGGTAATGAGCTTGTCCAGTACTACATCAGCGCTGGTGAAGACACGGTAAGAGTGGAGGAAAGTGTTCAGGAAGTCGATGGAGAGGAAGCGCAGGTCGGTCAGCCTCTCCAACAAGCGCTCCACACTGGCATAGCGGATCTGCAGCACCTTGCAGGAGTTCATCATCTTGCTGAAGCGAATGTCGACATCATCACAGTACAAACTGGTGTCTGACCTGTATTGGATTTAAAGTGAGGTTAATAAAGTTATATAGAGATGTAGCTCCAGTTACTCCAATTAAATGCCCTTTAGTGGCCATGAATTCTTGGTCTATATCTTCTTTCAGTTCGTGCATTAAGTTTATTATTTCTCATGTTTGGCTCTGTGTTCTTCTTGATCTGTGTTAGGTAGTTGACTATAAGGTTGTTTCCTGTTTTTCTTTGAGTTTGTTTTCTCTGGTGTCATGTTCTGGGTTTTACTTCCTCTCTGTTTGAATGTCTTAATTGCTTTTTTACCATGTCTCATTCCTCTATTTCTGATTCCCAATTAGTCTCCAGTGTATAAATAGTGTGACCGTCTTTGTCCAGTTGTCTGTTGTACTCCATGTTTTCCTCCCATGAGTTTTCTGTGTTCCTCATCTCTGTTCCTGCGTTTGCAGCCTGTGAATGTTAGATTTTTGCTCATCTTTAGGTGGCGTTTCTGGACTGATTATCAGCTTTATAAACAAAGCTCACTTTTTTTATACTCACCATTTTTAGTCACCTTTGAAGTCAGTTTTCTACTGTGTCAATATTAACACAGAAGCCCTATACATTTTTAGGGCTAATGTTAGCATTAGGCTACATTATGAGCCTGTAAGTATGAGCATGTGCAAACTGTGTGCATGTGCGAACATCTGAGATTTTTATGCAGCCTTTTGAACATACTTTGTATGTGCTTTACTATTGCTACAGTGTGTCCAAGTCTCACTTGATCATCTGTGGCACAGTGACTTTGCTGTTTTCCTCAAAGGCATTCATCATCAGGCCATTGCAGCGGATGTTGTCAATGCACTGTAAGGCAGAAAGCACAGTGAGCATAACAGTGCAAGAAGACGAGCATGTTTATAAACATATGAATGCTCCAGGTTCCAACATTTATCAGATCATGTGTGTAGCTTCAGTAAGTTTGGTCTCTTTGCGTGATTCATGTTCCGTATGTCCCCTGACAAAGTCTCCGGAGGCTACTCGTGTAGCCAGGTAATGTATAACAGACATCCAGTTCAAGACTTCCTATTCTTTGCACTGATCATTGCACTGGTATTCTCTCTATTTTCTTTCCACACACAAACTGTTTACTTGCACTTGATCAAAGTATGCTCAAATTTTATTGGCCAATACATCTTCAATTACAGAAGCTTAAAACAGTAACTAAAATCTTGCCCATTCCCAATCGAATTTGTATATTGAGATTATTTATCATTCGATTACCACTTCATTACAAGATGACTGACAAAATCTGTAGATTTACAGAGTTTGAGAAGTGTTTTTTTAAAGCTGCAGCAACAAAAAAACGTGAAATCAAATGTCTTAACGTAAGCGGCGAGACATACCTGACTGATATCACTTGTCCACGCTGACTTCTCCAGTCGGGAAGAAGCCACAAGGATCACGGTGTAAGGCTGGACGTCTTTGGGTTCCACCATCAATTTAAAGTCCAGGTGTTCTGTGTCCTGACCACTGCGCTCCCCTTTGGCTGAAAGGCACAAATAAAATTAAATTAAAATTCTAAATAGGAAAGAAAACAATATGCTGCGCTTTAGAATAGATCAGCTACTGTTTTATTTATTTTTGTTTCAGTTTGTTCACATTATTTTTCTGCATACGTTATGCAAAGCACAATAATAGAATAGTCTTTGCTTTATTCATTGGGGTTATTACCTTGATTAAATCATTTGGAACAAATATCAGTCAATCAACAATTGTGAGTAATTGTTTTGGCTAACTTTAATAGCAGTAAATTAAAAAAAATTTTTTTTGACACCTCAAGTAATGTGGGGGTGAAGAGGAAACGGTGGAAATCATGCAAAAACACTTTCTGTAGAGATAATGTGTTTTATATGCAGAGCATTTAATCCAGCCACACCCCACAAACACCACATTCTGGTTTGTAACTGTGAAAATTTAGTTGGAAAAGTGGGAAACATTCTTCGTCCGCTTTTAGGGTGATTCACTAACTGTTACAGCTCCCCGTTTGTTAGATTGTTACGCCTGTATGACGATGCCAAATAGAAAAGTGGTATCACTTTATTTTCCAAGCTCTTCATACAGTAAACACTCTGCAGCTTCTAGATGTAGGTATTTATTAAGGAAACATTTGAATCCACTACACATACTAACTCACACTCATCATCAGTCCCCTCCGGCTCCTCAATCAGAGTGCTGTCTATGAGAGACACCACTCCATTCTGTAAGAGGCATGAAAGGTCACAAGGTCACATTCACCATGCTGCCAGCTAACAGATCATCATCAAGCCCATCCTTTAAGGATAAAATACCCAACAGTATAACATTGATTATACATTTATAAAAAAAATAGGTGAAGTGTTTTAGAACTGCACCCTACACTCACGTAGAGTGAATTTTTACTGTTTTTCTACTACTTGGTCTACTTTAGGTCAATCCTGCCGTACTTTAGTGATGTGAAGTTTTCCTCCGGAGCCTCGGGTGCAGATGATAAGATGTTTGGAGAAGAGGAAACACTGTCTCTCTCCTTCCTTCTTCAGAGACAAAGAGCCAAGCCGGCCCCTTGTGATCTTCCCTTTCTCGCTCATTGGCACCTGGATCAGAGAACCTATGAACACAAACACGTGTACAAGAAAAACATATAAGCAAATATTGAATTTGCTCTCTTTTCCTTCGTAATCTGAAAACTGGCCATACAAGAAGAAAAAATAAACTACATAATTTAAATTTAAAAAGAAAATCCAAAAAAAAAAAAAACCCCAATGTCCATACAATTTGGTGCAAAAAATGTGTTATTTGTGTCACCATTTCATAAAGGATTTAATTAGCACCCTAAATTAATAAAAGAACCACCCATGCTTGAATACACCAGCAACTTTTACACTTAGTGAGGTTTTTTTTTTTTGCCCGATAAAAACTCAGTTTCAAGTTTGCTTTTATTTGTTGACCATAACTGCAAACCTTGTCATATAAGAACAACACAGGAAAACATTTTCTTTACCTTGTCTAACAAAGGTCTGGCTGGTATCAAGAAGCACTTCACAACCTTCCACAATCATTCGTTCAATGGCTAAATTCTTCCTGATGTTCTCCGTCTCGCTTACCTCATCATGCATGATTCTGAAAGGACAACAAATACTAATGATTTCAGGTACTTCTCAATTAAAGCCATATGTTTTTTCTTATTGTTTCTATAGAGTTCATCAACTCTTATAGTGAATTTGCTCCACTGTTCCATTACATGAAATGAGAACAGTGACCACAAAATCAATTAAAACTGTTAGAAATGATAGACACTGTGTCCGTGTCTGACTGTCGTATTTTTATTTTTGGTACTTTGCGTCGATTGGATGAGTCACTGGCTATTATAGCTCTGTTTTCTGTATCCTTATGCCAAGTACAAGATATATTAAAATACAGGTACTAATTCAGGGTTACTAGTTTCTGATTTACATCAGACAAAGATCCCACTGAGTATGTTTGTGTTGTCGAGCTACATAGATGGTTCTACCTGGAAAGCTCCTCCAGTTTTGATTTGGCATAGTCCAGACTGTTTCTCTCCACATGCTCATGGGGAGTGTGAGCAAGCAACTCATGAAGAGTCAGGATGTAACGAGGAATCTGAAAGAGATGCGCTTTAAATTAGTTTGACTGAAAATGTTTTATTTTGTGTTACATGTATCTTTTCAGTCCAAATTTAAAACATTACTGCATTTTAAACTATTTCACCACAGTGTGTTGCAGCATTAATGCCTCTCGTGTATTTTATGTGAATTTTAACTTTAGCATATAGCGAATATATATACATCACTGAATCATAATATGTGTAGTAATGTGTAATAGTGAAGTCATCCACATTGTAATTTTACCTGAAACATGGGGTAAGTGAGGAAGGTCTCCAGCGTCCTCTCCTCACAGTCAGGCTTGGCCTCGTACTGCTTCAGCAGCTTGTCGAAGTCACGGTTCTGTTTGCAGTGAGCCAAAATCTGCAAGCTGTACTGGTGGTTCCTCACAAACTCTTGGTAGATGTTTAGCATTGGCAGTAAAATGTCAAACAGGTCAGCTAAAAAAAGAGACAAAAAATTTCATAAACCGTAAAAATCTGAAGAATCAGTGCAGACACAAAGTACCATTGAAGGAGAAGTCATGTGCTCGGTATTTGTATATGTTCAAAAAATGTTTTTTATACTCTCACCCTCAGTCGCCTACCCGACAGACAATAAATCATTATTATTTTTTGCAAGGAAGGAAGGGAGCTGTACCTGCGTAGATTCATTATTTTTAGTTGAATTCATATCTTTATGGTATGATTTCAACTATGTGTGTAAAACTGACAGTGCTTCTCAATGATGAAAACACTTTCATTGTGTTGTGTTGCAAGAAATCTCTGTTGTATGTGAAAAAATGTATACATTTAACCAAATGAAATTATTTTTCTTAGTTGCAATTTGGAAAAATTAACTTATTATTCTGTGCCTCTTACCTAGCACCAGTGTTGGCCAGCTGGCTATCCTGGCCTTCAGGCCCTGGTAGAAGATCTGATGGAGGAACATGATGGTCTCACTAATGAAACAAATAAGCAAAATGGCAGTTATGAGCTATTGTTTCTCCTTCTGCTGTCCATAAATGTTGGCAGCTCCCGCCATGCCGAGTCACACCACTCTCACAAACAGTATGACCACCAGCCACCTGTTAAGGAAGATGCTGCTGACATCATCGTGGGTGATGGGCGGTTTCTTGGAGCTGGCGGCCATTCGGAGTGGCCGCAGGAAGTTGTTGACCAGGATGTGGAGTTGCTGGACGTATTCGGCTTCGGCTTCCAGCATGCTGAACACCACCTGGTTCCTCTTTCTCATGCTTTCAGCGTGGGGCGAGCGAATGTAGTCTTGGATGATAGTTTTCCACTTCCTGCGGCAAATCCATCCTCGCAGGAAACTTTGGACCTGTGACAAAAGCATTTAGCAAACATTGAAAAAAAACAACATAATTTTTTATAATTTTGGAGATTTGAGTTTTATTGGATTTCCATGACTTCCATGGATTTTTTTATAGGGTTTTCTCTGTATTATTATAGTCTTTATCCTATAATATAAAGCACCTTGAGTTATGCAGTGAATCAAATGACTGTGTGTGATGTCGTGTTTCTGCTCATAGCTGTTACACTGACGACACTATCAGCACAAAAAATAGACAGAAAAGTGGATCTAATAATTTGCTGTTAAAGATGCTTAAATGTTTTTTGTGATTAAAAGCCAGATAAATAATTTTATATTTAGTAGAGACCAAAAGGTGCCAAAAACTGTACCGAATTTACAAAATGCTAAAATACTTGATACTTAGTCTTCCATTAAGACACAAAATAATGTTCTTATAATTTACATATATATCTATATATATCTTTATATCTATATATAGTTTATATCTTGTAAGTGCTGCCCCAAACTGAGCAAACATGAGTCAAGGCAAGTTTAGACATGTCCA